GTAGACGAGCGAAGCCACTCTCGCAACTTAAATAATACCTACGAAAATTTTCGTTACTACGTTCGCAAAACTATTGGGTTTGGCTATGGAAGAGGGGACTCACCTACGAAATGGAAGGGATAAGAAAAGGAAAGAATTATCTCACTCGCACTCGCAGGATCAATGAGGAGCTACTTGGTTAACCTTGAGGAGCACTCGGGAGGCAAAAGAGCCGAGTTTGCCCGGCTCTGTATTAGGGCAGGGGCATTAAAGAAACTCGAGTGTATCGTAAATCTACCTAACTAAACAATGACGTCATCAATGCATATTTGGCAAGAGCAGCTGATTAAAGGCTGCAGCCAGGGCCGTATCAACCGGAATTTCCTCCGAATAAGAAAACTTTAGGAGCCTGTATCTTCAGCTACATAAGTTTCCGCATGGAATTAACACTACCACACGATTCTACTTGGTGAGTACTACTATAATTACCTGACTTAACTTCATGACTTAACTCGTCTGTCAACTAATGTAAAAAATGACCTTACTTTATTTTTATTTACTATCAGAAGGACTAGTTTAGGATGACTTTGAACAAACGAAACGAACACGAAAAAATTGAGTTCGACATGCTTATTCTACATTATGTAAATTTATTTCCTGAATTGTACTCGGCGATTCGGCGATAGCCTGATAGCAAAAAAAATAATTGATAACAGGAAAATTACGGTACCTATGCAACAATGGAAATAAACGATTGATAATTACGATAACATCTCATTAATAAGAGGAAATAATGTGAAAGCGAAAGCATTTACGTCATTGCTAATTAAATATTTTCCATGATAAGTATCTGCCTACACGACAAATTAAGGAATATCACCGATTTTTCATTGAATCTCTTTGTCGTTTCAAGTGGCATTCTTGATTTGTCCTACGGAGTTATTGATAACAACTTTGTGTACTGATAACACTTACTAAGCTGATAAAAAACAGTTTTTAGTTAATTAAACTCAGATTTTTTTTATAATACATACTCGTGAAGTATAGAGAAACCTTGAAGCTGGTTCAGAATTCAGAATTTGTGGATTTATGTTACAATAATTGGGATTCGAATCCCCTTACTCTAATCCTTGGTCAGTTTTCTGTAGTTTATTGCTAGGATCATTTAGGTAAGGGCCTAGTCAGTATTATTCTACGAATACTCATTAATTTCTATCTTCATTTCGTCTAACTCATCTATCATTCACTCTAACCATCGCCGATCATTACCACAACTTATAGAAAGATGCGGAGCATCCACCCTTTCCTCCAGCTTGCATCACAGTCTAATACAAAGTTGGAAGATAGGGCGGAAGATCTGTCCGCAATAATGAGAAATCCCAGAAACCAAAAAATTTATATAGGACTGGGAATTACCCAGAATTTTTATTAAAATTTAAGTATCTTATTAATAACCCTCTTGACCTCTACAATCTTTATTCGAAACATATTTCATTCTAAACGAATTGATCTAGTAGATCAGTGGACACTGTGGTATTACACTGTTTTGATTTTATTTTCATCTTACCTAGCCAAGAACTTTCTTCAGTTGTTACTTCGTCACCCAGCTGAGGAATTAATATTGCACTGTAGCCTTGACAAATCCCCACGGATATGGACACTGAATGGGCGCATAATGCAGCAAAAGCCTGCAAAAAAAAATAAAATCCTTAATTTGGATCATCAGTTCAAGTTAGTCGTTAGTCACTAGAAGACTAACTGGACACACACTTCTGACAAATTATTTACAAAATCCTCTACCTCTCCTTACTCCTGTTTCTGCATCTAATATGCCTCTAACTCTAGCCTTTCATATCTCAGAAGGTGTCCTTGCTAGTCCTTTGCTGAGTAGTCCTGCAGTCAGTCCCCTGTTCTTCTATTAATTACTCATAATTCTAAAACGACTTTAGGAATTCCCCTATTCCTTCCAAACCCGAATTAGTCTTCCCTTAATAATTTATACACTATGTACCATTTGTTTTTACAATTTAGACTGATAAAAACGTCGATCATTCGCTATATCCGACTTTACATCGCTCTTTACAGAGAATAATTAATTACGATTTATTAAAATATTTATTTAAAGGCGGAGCTCGTTTTAGATGTGTTAACATATTTTGAAAATCAAGGTCGGTGTACGGGGTCACTTTATAAAATTGTTTTATTAATGTAACGTGTCTACTTGGATCAGAATGCCAAGTTCAAGGCAATAGCTGTTTTATCTCCATTAACACGTCATTAACGCTACTCTGTGATCTATTTGTAATTTCAAATATTTTATACACACATTGAGATGCTCTTTTGTTTGCATTAATAATTTTAATTATTTGAAAATAAGTCACATGAAGTTAATAAAATAAATTAGAAGTTTCCGCTACTCTAGGAAATTAGGATCGATTTTTAACAGTGAAATCATGGTTAAAGATATATATGTATGTACGTTTGGATCCGACGACACTTTTTTTTAGGATCCCGGCCAGGACCGGACAATGACGGCGATAAGCGACAATACCAGAGAAAAAAGGAAAAACAAACACCACCAATAATAATTTAAGTAGTTATAAGTACTTATAACAAAAAAACTTACTAATGAAAATTAGTAATTAAGGTTGTATTGAAATAGGTCGTTTGTTCTAATTTGTATAATTTATTGATTACTCTACGAAATTATCTGTTATTTTGATATAGATCTTGAGTTTACCTTTTCTCATAAAGAATACATGATTATAGTCGAACAGTTACAATTTCTGTCGCTTGTCGATATATCAGATTTTGATTAACTATAGCTAACTAGTATGATTTTGTCACCCTGCAGACTTTTAATGTTTATAAAAAAATATAGGTTCGTTTCAACCCTCTCATTAAAAATTCACCATCGTCATCATCATAACGTCGTCAGTCGAGTGGTTGGACACGCACCTGCACTCTTTCTTATTCTGAGCTAATCTTCGTATAACTGTCTGTTGCTCTTTATACAAACCAAATATCACTCACTCTTCTATATCTGTAACTCATCCCTAATTTTTAAGTATAATAGCATCTTGTCCCATTTAACAATGTCAAAAGCTTTTTCTAAATTTACAAGTCCTATATACGTCCTCTTTCTTTTTTCTATCGTTTTCTCTATGAAGCTAGAATAGCCTCCCGCGTTCCTCTATTTCTTCTAAACTCATATTGATCTTCCCCTAATAGTTCTTCCGCCTTTTTTCCATCCCCTTCTGTACAATTCGAGTTAAGATTTTGACGCATGGGATATTAAGCTAATTGTTCTAAATGTCTCGCACCTATCCGTGCCTCTTTTTTTAGGCATGGTTACAACCGCGTTCCTTTTATAATACTCTGGAACTTTCCCCGTCTCGTAAATGTGACTAGCTTAAACATACGAAATTAGGACACAATTTATAATATAAACGATATCTAGATATTGTCAAATACATCGTCTATGTGGTCCCATCCTCATTCGCATTGTGCTCTTTGAAGCATGCAAAAAAACTATGTTGCACACTGAAAAAAAAAATAATTTCACGTTTCTGTTGCATTTTCAGCCTTGACATTGACCATGTCATTATTAGGATCCTAGCGTGCGTCGGATGCATTAGTAATATCCGTTTACCAGCATACCATTTTATTACAATATGAATTATATCTAGGTGTAATATCAGCAATGTGGTTTCTTTTAATCGTAAGATTATGTAACAATCTCATCCATGATGCTTTACGTTGGGTAATAGCGCCAATTATTCATGTACCCATATCATATTATTGAGATAGGTCAGAGAAAACATGCTAATGATAGTAATGATAATCAATTAATTCGACGATAAGCGCTACTGTTTTAAACCAGACAATTATGAATAATTATATTTTGTATCTCTGATTTTATCGCGTTTTCTAGTCTATTTCATTGTTATTTATTTATAAACAATTGCAATCCTTTATCGTTCAATGATCTCCAAGATAAATACAATGTAATGAATACTTCGAGACAGATGCGTTTACATTTTGCATTAATTAAAGCGTATTCACAAAAACGCAAATAAATTCGTTTATAGGAAGTGTAACATTAAATGTATTCAACTTTGGTAGACATTCATAAAAATCTGCACAATCTGTTCTATAGTAGATAGCAGATTTGGTATAAAATAATAAAAAATAATAGCATTCAACTAGAATAAACTTATTGCAGTTGAATTTAAAAGAATCTCTTTATAATTTATTAACTGCAGTTTAAATCCATGAAAACTATAAATCCCCGATTAATTAAAAAGAATTTTGAACAAAAAATAGTAAATAACTAATTGTACGAGACACATCTGCAATGTTTGATTTAGTAACCAAATAGTAAATCGTCCTCTTACATATTGTGATATTAAGAAAGCTGGGCAATTATTAGTAACAGTCAAATCTTTATTTATTTAAAATTATACCTACTAAAGAAAATGTTTAGGTTAATAAAATGTTCGGCAATCGCCATAATTCCTCTAGAACCAAGTCTTGCATTAATAAACTAATTGTTTATTTCTAGAACGCATTAGCGGTGTACGTTTTCCTTGTACTTCACTAAATGCATATCTTTCTCTGTCAATGTTGCACACATTTGCTGTGCTTGAAATGGATTTTTCACTGGTCTATGTCATACTGATTGTTGCTAGGTTAAGGACAAATAAAATGCTATTGCTCTAGTTTTACTAACGTAAATGTATCTATAATACTGGGCAGGAACACAATTGTAACAGTTGGAAATACAAACTGCAGATTACTATCCAAGTATTCGAATAAATCGCTCGTAATCTTGATTTTTTATAGAAACAATATCAAAAAATAGATTTTAAAAAAATCGTGAAACCAACCAACCCTTAAGTTTGACTCTAATAACATCACATACATATATCAGTTGGGCCATTCCGTTGATATAACCTGAAATGCCGGCGTTTTTTGCAGGCGGTCATAATCAGCTCTATGCGCGCTGAACTACTATACAAAGTGTACAGATACAGAATACTCTGGCTTTCAGATGACACCCTGTACAAGATAGTCCTTGCTTCATAGCGTGATAACGTTAAGTATCTGTTAAAATAAATATTAACTAAGTCCAGCAATATGGCGTCTGGAGTCCGCCATATTAACCACTTAGTGATATTAACCCCTGCTTCAGCAATGGCGTGTTTGAGGAGACGATACCGTAGTTTTAGTTATGTACATTACTAGTGAGACATCAGGAGTATAGGGAGAGAAATTTTCTTCTTTTTTGGAAATACTAACAAAAATATACTTCGGTACTTACTGTTCGCCCTATTCCACTACTGCAAAATTTTTGGAACATTTGATTAATGTTCAACATGTTGTGGGCACCTAGAAGCAAAGAACAAATAAATTAAGTTTCATGGCGAGTCAGCCTACACTGATGTGCAAGACGGTATGCAAATATCGCCGCAACAATTACATTGTTCAGGTTTCTGAACCGATTTTTATAAGAACAAAAAGGTATCGTGTTTTATTAATGAGATGATTCGAAAGGAGAAGGACAGACTTTTTAATTAAACAAAAACAAGGAAACACTACTTAATCACAATGTGAGAATAATTTAATCGTTATATTTATTATCGATTATTAATAATAGTAAGTACGTATTGACATTCAATTCAATCCGCAGGTATATGATATTCTTAATATCACATTGCGAAACTGATCTTATTAATTAATTGAGTCAAATTAACTAATAAAAGTTTCACGCCATCGGTTTTAGTATTAATTAGTGACTTTCTGTATGGATACGAAAAATTTTTTTATTTAAAAAGAGAAATTAGGAATTTTGAACAAGACCCTAATCAAAACTCCTCAAGATATTATTTGATAATCTCATATATATTACGCAGTATTAATTAAATCTGCCTCTTCATCAGATTGACCCGATAACACTTATTAGAGAATGTTTACTTTAGATAATCGTTAGTAGGTAAACTCCAACCAAAGCTTCACAAAAATGGGCTACTGTTTTAAAAATAAAAACCAAATAATGAAAATTAGAAAAGTCAATGTGCTAATTATTTATTTATCAAATTTCGATTTTGTTTAATCAATTTAATTACAAGTGTGCTCTGTAAACATATTTGTGATTTAAATAAACAGGTGTTAAATGAATCATAATGGATTATTCTCAATCATCAGATTCGAATAGTATTTAACCTTAATTTGTATAAATAATGCATCGCCAAATAAGCGAATGTAATTAATTATGTTTTTCTGCACTTACGATTAGCTGCAAAATATCGCCAAACCAGCGAGCGTATTCAAATTAATTAAGGAAAAAATCGATTAATATATAAGCCAGTATTAGTACTGTTTACTTATTAAAAACCGGTGTTTTGATAATTTGTAAGTATAATTAATATAATTTTTATGTTTATTGCATTACTTATGATACAATAAATAATTTATAGATCTCATTTTTAACGCAATTAAATCAGCACTTCCTAC